CGGTGTCGACGAACACCCTTTGCACCTCGTATCCTGATATCTGTGCGGTTATCATTAGGGCATCATTGTGTGGTCTCTCGACTTCTCCAACGTCTGCAGGTTCGAAGTTCATTACTGGTCCCCATTCATCGACTTGCTGCACTTCAACCTTTGTATATCGACCTCGAGCATACGCTTTCCTTGCTCGGTTCGAGTCCCCGTCTGTTGACCCTCCAAAAATCATATTAATTATTCCCCTTTTTGGTGGGAGCTCCTCTCTTTCTGGTGATCTTTCCCTCTTGCGAGGGCTCTTGCTTCTCTCTCTCCTCTTGTTCGACCTCTCACGGTCTTTGTATATGAACTCCTTCAAGTGTCCTGCCTTTATCAACCTTTCGATTTCGTCTTTAAGGTGTCTGCAGTCATCAGTGTCGTGGCCGTAATCTTTGTGGAATCGACAGTATAAATTACTCTTGGGCCTTACTGGTCCATCTTCCCTTTTTCGTGGCCATCTCACCACATCGTCACGGATTTCTCTTTCCATGACTTCCAGTATTCTCGCATGAGGAGCCGACAGGGGTGTGTATTGAGTCGGCCTCCATCCTCTGTATCGTCCTTCCCCCTTGTCAACTCGTGGTGATCCTCCTCTTTCCCCTGTCGACTGGCTTTTCTTCTCCTTCTTATCGTCTCGACTGTCAGTTTGGGGTATTTTTACGTTTTGCAGATAATCGGCTTCGGCCTCCTCGACATTCATATATTTTGCGCATCTTCCCAACACGTCGTCGAAACTCCTACCAGGTCGCTTGGCCAAAGAGTTCTTACATAACCCTGGCAGTAGCCCTCTCGTCAGTCCTCCCGATTTGATTTCCTCTGTCGCTGTTGGGCACTCGACACATGCCTTTGTAAACCTCGCCACATACTCTCGCAGCGACTCTCCCTTCTTTTGCTGCATACTTATCAACGAGAGATAGGATTTCTCTTGCACCCTCACACTTGCAAATTGGTTAAGAAAACTCGAGCTAAATCCATCAAAGTCCCTAATCGACCCCGCTGGAAGTTGATGGAACCAATCTTGGGCCGACCCTGTCAAAGTCGTCAGGAAGGCGCGGCACTGCACTGGGTCGCTGTAACAATGAAGTACGGCCATATTTTCGAAACTCCTCAAATGTCGAGACGGGTCAGTGGAGCCGTCGTACCATATGTTTAATTCTCTGAAGCCTTTGGGTAAGTCGGCTTTCAAGATCTGCAACGAGAATGGGTGCTCTTTTGTTCCCCTGCTCTTCTTTCCATCGACTCGAGCCTGTAAATCGCGAACCTGGGCTAATAGTTGTTCTAACGTTTCATCCCTCGCTTGTGGATTGACCGTTCGAATGGAAGACTCTTCCTCGTCCACCTTCCTATTCTGTTGCACGTTCGACTAGGCTTGTTGCTCGACGCGGGGCTGCTGCTCGACTCGAGGGGGGTACTCGACGCGAGGCTGATGCTCGACTCGAGGTGGACACTCGACTCGGGGCTGCTGCTCTACCGGAGCTATCTGCTTTATCTGGGCCGCCACGGCTTCAGCAATCATCTTCTGCATTTCACTCCTCGTCATTGTCAGAGTCTGTTCCTCGACGCGAGGTTGTGTCTGCTCCGGAACCTCCTGTATCTGTTTTCCCTCGCGTCGAGAGGCCTCCGTTGACTCCTTCCCTCCATCTGGGTTAGGGTTTTGACTTGTTCCTGCCTGAGTCAATACTTGATTCTTCATGCCGGTTGGAGTTACAGGCGTTTCTCCGCCCAACGTCAGCCCGGGTGGTGGTGGTCCTCCGACTGGTGGCATTCCCGTCATCTGAACTACGGGGTGTTTGGTGGTAGGAAGTGGTGGTGGCCTCTTGTCCATCCACGTCCCTCTGAATTCCTCACTCAGGTTCCTCTGCAAGCTCTCCTTCTCCGCCATTGGCAAACAGATCGGAGCTGGGTGTGAAGCTCTTCCTTCCTTTAAGAACTCCCCACAGACGGCGCCAAATGATGGGTCTACTTCTGGATCTGAAGTAAACCGGTGGTTGTGAGCTCAGATCTGCTTGAACCGCCTTGAAACCGTTGCTAGACCCCAAGAATACCTGCAAACACTCAACGCCGGAGGTGTTTCCGGCGTAGAGCCTCCGACGCTCAAGTCAGTATGAGAGTGATGAAGAGAGGCTGCGCAGCAGCTATGGGGGAGAGTGGGAATGAATGAGAGTTAGGGTTTTATGGTTACCTCATCTCCTTTATATAGGAGTGAATACTTATGTGAAGTGCCCAAAATGCCCAAATCGGTGGACCTAGAAGGTCCAAAATGCCCCTGTCGATTCGTCTCCCCTTATTGCTGAGTCATCACAAGATTCCTTCTTATCCTTCCTAATGTTGAAGGCTTCGGATATGTTGCAAGTGTGGTGAATCGTCATCACATCTTTGTTATTTAAGGTATGTGAAGTCGACTTCGAGATCTAGGAAGTCGACTCGTGGATATGTGCGGATTCGGAGGCTACGCTTGACTAGTTCTTTGAGGCGGAGTCGTCTTCAGAGAGTCGTCTTAGTTCAGTCGACTTCTGGGGGTCGACTTAGAGTATCTGGATGACCGGGAGCTTTGCTGTTCCTCTTTCATTGATGTCGATTAGAGAAAGTCGGTAGATTAAGGTCGACTTGCAAGAGTCGACTAGATCAATCTCGGCTTCTTCTTGATTGCTCTTAGTAGAATCGACCTTTGGGAAGTCCATTTGGGCATGTCGACGGAGTCATGTCGACGTGCGAGTAATTCGAGTGGTTCGCCGGTTGAGTAATAAGCTTCTGGACCGGGTTATCCTTATGTGGCCATATCAGATGTCATAATGTCAGACTTATCCAGAGAAGTAATCATATGGGACTGAGAGGTATCTGGGCCAAATGACGAGACGCGTTACCTACACGACGAGTAAAAGTGGATATTACGATTAAATCAGATAAGTACGACACTCAACCACCAAATTTACTCTTAAGCATTCGACTGCTTAGAGTAATTTTTTTTGGGGGGGAAGGGGGGGGACTAGATGATATAGCCATATTATGATATACCGGCCCAAGGACCTATTACTCGACCGGACGATCGGCTAGATCGGCCACGCATCGACATGTTCCAAGTCGACATGCTTAAATCGACTTTGGCAATGTCGATTCTTCACGGGATACGAAGGAAAGCTGAATCCATGCAAGTCGACCTCACGCAGTCGACTCCAGAAAGTCGACTTCCACTTAAGAAGACTAACAAGAGCGAAACCTCCGGATATGTAGAAACTCCCAAGTCGACCTCCTGGCACTTGAGGTCGACTCTTCACGCCTCGAGACGCGAAACACACCGATGACTCAATACACTTGTGGTATCTCTTGAAGTCTCTTGTCCTCAAATGGATAAGAAAGTATCTTTCCATGACTCAGCAATGAGGAGAGACGAATCGACCGGGGCAGTTTAGACCTTTCAGGTAAACCGGCCGGGATAGTTTAGACCTTTCAGGTAAACCGACCTGGGCATTTTGGATACTTCAAGTAAGTGTTTACTCCTATATAAAGGAGGTGAGGTAACCCTAAACCCTAACTTCTATTCATTCACACTCTCCCCTATAGCTGTTGCTGCTCTCTCAGAGCAGCTTCTCTTCATCACTTTCACATACTTACTTGAGCGTCGAAGGCTATATGCCGGAAACACTTCCGGCGTTGAGTTCTTGCAGGTGTTGTTGCGGTCTAGCAACAGTTCAAAGGCGATTCAAGCAGATCTGAGCTCATTAACATCGGTTCACTCTAGATCTGAGAGGAGACCCATCAAAAGGCAAGTTCTAGAAAGATCAACTAGTCGTGACATCACACAATCAATAAAAGGTGCATTATAGTCAGTGTATGCTCATTGGCTTAAGCCTCACGACAAGTAGGGACAAATATTGATAATCCTCGTGCATTCGATTATTAATGATCATTGAAAACAATCAGCCAATCAATATGCAGCACACAAGGACACCAAATTTTTTCGCACACACCAAAATTCTTCAAAAATTGGCATCACAGAAGAATTAAGCATAATGACAAATGATATACAAATAATCTTGACACCATCGGACAACACCGAATACAACTCCATATAATCAACAGAGAAAACACATAGCACAGATCAAAACATCCATCAAACAAGACAAGCACCAACAATCTCGAAATCAATTACAAATATGGGCAACCAACAACCAGCCCCACAGGTAACCAACAACCAGCCTCACCCCACACTTAAAAATTTGCGTGGTCCTCAACTCCACAACACTAAGAATGCAAATAAAATAAAAATAGAAGGGGTTGTCGGACTTCCCTCGTCATAGGTAGCATCCTAGCATGTGCCGGCGTGCAGGGTCAGAGCCGACTTTAGGGCCAAAAATTAAGGCACCTGCCTAGGGCCTCAACATTTTAGGGGCCTCATATATAGATATATATTTATGTATTATATATTTATACATTTATGTTGGGCTTGGCCCAATCCTTTCACATAAATCCATTTACATAAATTTAAAATTTACTTTCTTTCTTCTGCCCGAGCCGAGTTTCACTTCACAAAATCAAACGATTCAAACCCCAAATCTCACGTTTAATTGATAAAAAATTATCTTCAGTCAAGTATGTGTCAGGATAGATTGAATGGTTTGACGATGTTATCCATTGAAAAAAAAAATGGTTATGAAACTTGATTATGATGACTTGATTGATAATTTTGTACAACCCAAAAGAAGACGAGAAGGTTGTATGTTTTTGTATTTTAATTTACTTATCTTTTTTGTATTTTAATTTACTTATCTTTCTTATATTCATTGTATTTTTCGTATTTATTATCGGCAATATTTATTATTATTTATTCAATTAAAAAAAATAAAAATATGAAAATACGGGCCATTCTTGAATAAATTGTTTGGGCCTCTAAATTTCTGGAGACGGCCTGTGCAGGGTCAGTAGCTGAACTAGTCTGGGGCTGTTTCGAGATGGTCGACGACTTGGTGGTCCTAGCCGTGCCCGTCTGGCCACACACAGATGGACCTGATGTCCTCGCGTCTGTTGGAGGGGTCGAAGCCGGCTGCAACGAAAGGTCGAAGCCCCGATTTTCACCGTCGGGGTGGCACGCGGCTGTGAGGTACATGCGGCTGTGAGGTCACGTGGCCAGCGCCTTGGTCGTCTTTGCGGTGCCCGTCGGCTTCTCGACAGTGAGATCGATGAATTCTCGTCACCCCCCGTTCGGCGACTGGTAAGCGCGCTGAGAAGACGTGGACAGTGACTGTTTTGATGGAACCGGTGGTGAAGCGTGGTGGCTTCGGCAGACGGCAGCAGGGCAGGTGGTGACTCGTCGGACCTCGGAGGTGACCTAGATTTGAAAGCTTTCATCTTGATTCTCACCATGACTCTCGAATTGATTCTCAAAGTTTTCAAAACAAGGGTGCAGATGACCTTGGATTTCAATTTCACACAGTTTTCTCTCAAATTTTTGTGACGACTCTTTAGACGCTTCTGGAGTGAAAGAGTATTTTACGCCCTTTTGTGCTAACACCAAGGTCAATGAGTAGTTGGGCCACCATCTTTGATTTAATGTTGGGCTGAAATAATTTTCCAAGACTTTTCCTGACCCAATAAAATGTTAACCACCATAACTCAAATCTCAGTGGCCCACACCTATGTAATTGCCCACATACATAACATCATATCCTGCCACACAACAATACAAAATGGCACATGCATTAGTATTCAGGCACGAACAGCAACAGAAAACTTTTCTATCTCGTGTATTGATTGTTTTATTCAATAAAAAGAAAACATAATAATAATAATAATAATAATAATAATATTGGGTTGCCTCCCAACTAGCACCTTTTTTTAACGTTGTTGGCTCGACCAACTACTCCTCTTTAAACTGACTGAGGAGCGTCCAGTCGGACTCGTTTCACTTCATCGATTCCAAGTTCTCCATAATACTGCTTAAGCTTAAGACCATTCACCATGAACATCTTGCTCGACTTCTTTGGAACCACTTACGTCGGGCTCACCCAACGGCTATCCGAGTTCGGATAAATGACTCCTGCGTCCAATAACTTGATGATTTTATTTTTCACCACCTCCATCATGGGAGGATTTAGCCATCGTTGTGCCTCCCGAGAGGGTTTAGCATCTTCCTCGAGGAGGATACGATGCATGCAGATGGACGGACTTATTCCTCTCAAATAGACAACGGTCCATCCGATTGCTCGTTTGTAATTCTTCAACTCTTCAATGAGGGCTGCCACCTGGTCAGACTCCAAACTCGATGACACTATAACCGGGCATGTTTGATCCTCTCCCAAATAGGCAAATTTCAAGTGGCTCGGCAAGGATTTCAGCTCAAGCTCTGGTGCCTGCAAAGTAGAAAAAAGAATTTTCTCATCAGGTTCAGGTGGCCGAATAAAATTTTTATCATGTTTGTCAAGATATGGTTTCAGTGTATTCAAGGTTGTTACGGCCTCCTCGTTAATCCCCAAGTGATTTAAAAATTTGGGTTGATCACTATCTCTCTGCAGCCCGAGTACTAAGGCACCCCATACTCCTGGGAAGATACCCCGTACTGCTTGGGTTTTGTACAAACTTTGTGAAATCACAAGCTCCAGCTCATCTTCCCTATAAGTGTCGAGAAAATCCTGCACCAACGGTTCAATACAATCAAGTAAATAAACACAATGGTCAGAATGGAGAAATTTCATGGCATCAAAAATATTAAACTGAATAACATTGCCATCGAACTCCATTTTGAGAGTGCCTTCACGAACGTCGATTTTTGTTTGAGAGGTGTTCAAGAACGGCCACCTTAACAAAATCGGGATTGACATAGGAGTCTTGTCATTCATACTCAACACATAAAAGTCAGTGGAAAAAAAAATTACCTCATTGACCTTAAAAAGAACATCCTCAATTACCCCATCCGAAAAGGTAGTACTCCGGTCGGCAAGTTGAATTACCACACGAGTTTCTTTAAGAGGACCTAAATTTAAGGAATCAAAAATAGAGCGAGGCATAACATTAATTGATGCTCCCAAATCGAGCATGGCTCTCTCGATTTTTAAATTCTCTGTAGTGCATGGAATCGAAAACATACCTGGGTCGCTTCTCTTTTGGGGCAAATCTTTCTGAAATATTGCCGAGACGTTCTTCCCCATCAGAATCTTCTCATTCCCTTGCAACCTTTGCTTGTTAGTGCATAGATCCTTCAAAAATTTGGCGTAACGAGGGACTTACTTGATTGCGTCAATGAGAGGAATATTGATCTCGATTTTCTTGAACATATCAAGAACCTGCTTCTCAGAGTCTTCCCTTGTTGCCTTTCATACCCTGGATGGAAACGGTAGAGGTTTGAGTTTCAGTAGAGGGCAAATCGGGCTGCCCTTGCGTCTTTCAATCTCTGCAAGCTGAGTACTGGGTGTCCCCGTATTCTGCTGCTCGACCCATATTCTGCAGCTCGACTCTCTTTGTCACTTTCATCCTTCTCGATTTGAGTCTTCGGGGCTTCTAATTCTTTCCCGCTCTACAAGGTGATGGCATTGACATTTTTAGGGTTGATCTCAGACTGGGATGGAAGTCGACCCCCAAGCTGTGCATCCAGACGACTCATATGCTCTGCTAATTGACTCATTTGGCCTTCTAAGTTTTTGATGCTCACTCCTTGGCTCTTGATTTTCATCTCCTGATTCTTGATGCTCTTCTGAACACCCTGCTAAAAGTTCATGGAGCTAGTTGCAAGCGTCTTGATCATCTCTTCTAGGGAATATTGTGGCATGGAGTTCGGTTGGCCGTTATCCGCTTGTCATGGAAAGTTTTGGCCTCTTTGGAAAATTTGGGGTGGCTGATTATCTTTCTTTGCATACACTCCCCCTGAGGGGTTTCCATATTGAAGGGTAGGGTGATTTCTCTAACCGGGATTGTAGGTGTTGGAGAAAGGGTCATAGTTCCGGCCTGGGCAATTGTCAGTGACGTGATCAGTCGTCTCGTAACGCATGCAAGGTTGCATCATGGAAAAACCATCTGTGACTAATTTCCAGACAAAAGTCGTCTACGCTTTAACTTGGGATTCCAAGGCACCAATACCAGCTTCATTCACCGTCTGAAAAGATGCTTCCCGAGTGCCAAATTGTTGGGAGTTCGCTGCCATATTTGCTATCAGATCCCTTGCGGCCGTCGGTGTCTTGTCCATAAGAGTGCCTCCACTTGCCGCATCGAGCATGTTCCTATCCATGATGGACAACCCCTCGTAGAAGTACTGGATTAGCAGCATCTCCGTCATCTGGTGTTGGGGACAACAAGCAATGAGTCTCTTGAATCTCTCCCAATACTCGTATAGCGTCTCCCCATGCAACTTTTTGGCACCACATATCTCCTTCCTCAAATTGGCCACCCTTGATGCTAGAAACTACCACTGGAGAAACGCTTTCTCCATGTCAGCCCACGTGGTGATGGACCCGACGGTAGGTAGTATAGCCAATCTTTGGCTCGGTCCTTCAATGAAAATGGGAACGCCCGAAGTTTAATCTGCTCCTCGATCACCCCGGCGGGTTTCATTCCAGAACAAACAGTATGGAACTCCTTCAGGTGCATGTGAGGGTCCTCGCCTGAGAGGCCGTTGAATGACAGGAATAAGTGTATCAGGCCAGACTTAAGATTGAAGGTGGCGTCATTCACCGTCGAAAATGTTATGCACAAGGGTTGTTGAAGAAGTCGGGGATTGGCTAGTTGCCTTAACGTACGTTCTTGATCTCCTGCAATTGCTTCTTCCTCACTCAAAGAATCAGAATATTCAGTGTTATCGGGCTCTCTGGAAGAACTATGGTAATCGGCAATCTCCGGATAATCTTGCCCTCGGTTTTCTTGCGATTCCTTTGCCAACCTTGCTAGCCTCCTATTTTCCTTATCCTTCCTTGTCATTTCTGGGTTGTACGTCAATGGTTTCTGTCTAGAAGACCTCGTGTTCATTCACCTGAAAAACAACTAAAACTATAAGTACCGAATGCAGCAAAATATGTCGTAAGAAAAAAAGAATTCGCACCTATTCTGCCCAGCGAGTATGGGGTCAGTATATTCTGTTGGACAGAGTACTGGGGCACCCCGTACTACTGGGAACAGAAAATGAAAAGAAATAAAAAGTAACAGGGGGGATTCGAACTGATTTTACTCCAAAACGAAAAATAAAAATAAGAGAATAAGCTGAAAATAATTATAAAAACTAGTCCTAGTTTCAATTAATATAAAATAAATTAACAAGCCCAAATTTGACCGCGCGTTGCAACGCAGCAAAATTATAATTTATATTTTCCTTAACCGACTTCTACCAACTAGTAGTAGTAGTGAGTAAGGGCCGATACCACGAGGAGTGTGAATCAAATTGTAATATTCTTGTATTAATTGAAATTATAAAAAGCGATAAAATGGGGGGTTTGATTTAATAACTAAACTACCTAATATTCTAATGAAATAAATAAAATCTAAACAAGAAAATAAAAATAAAATAAAATAAATAAGAGAATTTTCTAGTTCACGGTTCCTTCTACACCTTCGACCGACTCGTCTAATCAACTTTGGTATCAAATCTCGCTATCTTATGGAATTACTAGCCCTAGGCAATGATACGGTCTGTTACCCGAATTTTTCCTTATTTTTAATTTGATCGCAAGACGCTCTACGATTAAACCTGACTTCTTGTACTGTCCGGAAAAATGTTTTCAAGATTTAATACAATTAGCCGCTTTACGAATTAGAAAAATAGGCTAGACTAAGTAGTGAACTCAACCATATTCGTTCACTTAAATAGGTCGTGTTATCCCCGGTAGTTACCGTCTTCCGATTGCCTTTTATGAATTAAACACAACAACAATTACGGATTGAAGGTCTAATTCAGATATAGATATGAAAAGCCTAATCTAGGTGATCAATCTAAATAAGACTCAATACATCATGGTTAATTATTCAAAATAACACAAACAATTCCAAAAAATTATTGAAATGATCAACCACGAAAATTGATCAAAACATCGTCAAGTCATAGGGTTCGACATCCTCAGAACTAGAATAAAAGAACTACTCACGCATAGCGTTCGATAACATGTTCATAAAATTAATTACACGAGAAAAGAAAAAGAAAAGAAGATAAAATTCTTCTCTGTTGCTCCTTCACGGTTGCTGCCTTCTGTTACTTTTTGCCTCTGCTACGTGTATCTCCCTCTGCCCTATGTTAGTCGCAATGTGTCCAAGTCTTTTTCTCCAAGCCAAAGGTCTCCAAAATATATCCTTCCCGTCAATTCTGGCAACAAATAAAATAATCTTTGACTTAATTCTCTCTTCATGAAACCCACAGACGTGGCACAAATTCTTCAAACACAAACATGGGC